TCACGTGCTACTTGTTGCTCGTGAGCAGCTCAGGCACGCCTCCTCCCAGGAGGCCGCAGCTGCGGAGTCCATCCAGACGGACGTGCGACTGACGCAGCAGCGAGATGACCGCGCTTACCACGACATCGTGGACGTCACGCCCAAGGTGAAGGTTCAGAAGGTGAAGAAGACGTTCTTGAAGAAGGAGCGTGACCGACATGGGGAGCTCGAGGGGTCCAGGCAGCCTCGTGTGGACCTGAGGGCCCTGGACGCCATTGAGGCACAGGCCAAGGAGGAGGAGCCGCCTGAGCAGCAGCAGCTGCCGCAGCTTCCCCCTCCGAAGAGGGAACGTTCTCGTTCCCCTCCAGGGCGGATATCCTCTGAGATGTACCCGAAGGCTTCTCCGGGAGCATCGGGCTCTGGCGGCCCCTCGGTGCCGCCGATTCCCAGAGACGATTTCGAGCTTGAGCGAAAGCGGAAGTTCCTGGTAGATGACGTGCCGATTTGCATCAAGAAGACGCGTCTGCAGGCTGCTCCTACGAGTGGTTTGCCGGCCCTCCGCGAGGTGGCCATGAACGCCGTTGTGCACTCGGGACCTCAGGAGTGGTTCGACCAGAATGCCTTGGATGGTGTCTCCACGCTCGTTCAGAAGGTCGTACGAGGAGTACGTGTACACCGAGAGCCACGGCGGAGACTCTATGATCACGACCGCCACCGGGAGTGCAATCGCCTCTCGGTGATGCTCTCCGCCACGGGCCAGTGTGCCTACAAGGACGACGGCGCGAACCGTACCAACGAGCGCACGGAGGACAGCTGGGTTGGTCTCACGCTTTTCTACCACGACAAGCCGGACGCTCATGCACAAGGGGTGTACTATTTGGACACTCCGGAGGGTCTTGTACGACAGCCGATGACTTACGAAGAATGGATCAACGTGTCATCTGTGTATGACGCATGGCTGCAGGAGGCCCGGTACGAGCACGACGTGTTCGCACTCGTGATGAAGCAGAACGCGAAGGAGCTAGACCCACGTCACTTCAACCAGCACGAGAAGGCTAAGTTCGACGAGGCCGATGCCGCCGAGTGGCGGCAATGGATCGCCAACAACACGGTCGAGCTGGTCACCGAGGAGGAGGAGAAGAGCATCCCGAAGGACAAGATCATCTCGGTGCCCATGCGTTCGGTTCGCACGAACCGGGGGCGAGGGCTGGAGCTGGAGGCGAAGTCTCGCTTGATCATCCCTGGCCATCTCGATCCGCAGCTTGGTCTATTCAGGACGGGTTCGCCTACTACTTCCCCTTTGGCTGTGCTGGTGTGTGCGTCTATCACGATGGCGATGGATTGGACATTCGAGTGCTTCGACGTAGCGATTGCGTTCCTGTCCGGGCTGAAGCTGGAACGGGAGCTGTATGTGAGGGCTCCTAAGGACGGGCTTCCAGCCGTCGACGGGGCTGGATGGCCAGCCGTGCGGCCTTATGCGTTGCTTCGCTTGCTGAAAGGGGCGTACGGACTGACTGAGGCGCCTCGGTTGTGGTATCTCCGAGCCCGCCAGGTGTTGACGGACGAGGTCGGCTTCGTGGAGCTGCGCTGTGCTCGAGCTGTCTTCGTTTATCGAATGAACGACAAGTTGATCGCTATGTTGACCTTGCACGTCGATGACGGCATGCTGTTTGGAGACCCACACGATCCCCAGTACCAGGAGGTGAAGGCGAACATCAACAGTCGTTTCAACATCAAGCACTGGAAGAAGGGCAACGACAAGGAGGCAGTCGCCTATCTCGGTGAGGAGTGGTGGCGCCACCCCGATCACATCGAGATCAGCATGCACGAGTACATCGGCAAGCTGACGAAGCACCCCCTTGCAAGGGGTGACAACGAGGAGCGGGAGATGACTCCCGAGGAGCACCACGACTACCGGAGCTTGCTCCAGAAGGTGCGGTGGCCTGTCGCACGCGTGGTGCCACAACTCGCGTATAGTGTCTCGGCGCTCGCACAGAAGGATCCGAAAGGTCGGAGGTTGCTGCACCTGCGAGTGCTCAATGACATCATCGACCGGCTTCAGGACTACGACAAGAGAGGTCTTGCGACTCTCCGGATCCGCCGTGTGGACATCGAGCGCTTGCAGGTGCTCACGCTTATGGACGCTTCGTTTGCGAAGGAACCCGGCTGTAAGAGCCAGATGGGGTTTATGAGTATGATTACGGACACCCGAGTTTTGAAGGAGCTAACTGTATGCTGTCTAGTGGAGTTTCAGAGCAGTACTATTACACGAGTTGTTGGATCTACGATGGCCGCAGAGTCTGCGGCTATGTCCGTGGCTTTGGATCGGCAGCTTTACCTCAGGCTGCTGATTGAGGCAATCTTGTACGGGGAGCCGCCCTTGCAAGGGGACTGGAGGCTGGCGCTGAAGGTTCCAGGGGCGCTCGTGACGGATGCGAAGTCGCTCTACGACCACACGTCCAAGATCGGGTCGATGCCGGTGTCTCGGCAGACCCTCATTGACTTGCTGGTGGCCAAGGATTTGATAGAGCAGGAAGCCATCAAGTTCAAGTGGCTGCCTAATAGCCACATGCTAGCGGATGTGCTGACAAAAGCCGTGCAGCCTAACGAGGTACTATCGCAGTTCCTCCGCCACGGCCTGTTCAGCATGGTGCCTACTGCTGAGCAAGAGGATGAGGAGGCACACCGTCTGCGGCTGCGCCGCGGACAGCGTGAGCGAGCCAAGGAGCGGAAGGCCCAGCGTCGGGTCGCCGTTCCAGGGCCTGCGAGCCCGTGAGGTCCTGATTGCAGCTGCTGATGGACCTAGTGAGGGCTACGGTGATGTATGCATATCTTTTGAGTTGATCGTCTGGAGTAGTGTATCCAGATATTCATATTCTTGTATTTATATTTGAGCCTCAGGCCGCACTTTGCTTGAGGTGTCTCATGCATATCTTTTGAGTTGACAGTCTGGATTGGTGAATCTAGACATTCATATTTATGTTTCGGCCTGTGGGCTGATATACATTATAATTGCGTGCAGCGTTGCCCTTTCAGAGGGAGCGGCATCGGGGCAGCATTGTACTCACCCAGTGTGAAGAGTGCACTCCCCTGCCCCTCTGCCGCCCGTGCCACCATGTGTGTATGTTGTACACGCTTGTTTTGTTTTGTGGCATGCACGCTGCCCGCCGCTGTTTTGGCCCTAGTCCTAGGGCCCTGGGACGCACCCGCAGTTTTGACTGCCGCGCAGTCCGAGCTAAAAGAACTGCACTGACAGACGATGATGATGATGATGATGATGATGATGATGATGATGGTGATGATGATGATGATGATGATGATTATGATGATGATGATGATGATGATTCTGATGCTGCTGATGATGATGATGACGATGACGATGACGATGACGATGATGATGATGACGATGATGATGATGATGATGATGTTGATGATGATGGTGATGACGGGACTGATGATGATGATGATGTTGATGATGCTGATGCTGATGATGATGATGATGATGGTGATGATGATGAAGAAGAAAAAGAAGATGGTGATTCTGATTATGATGATGTTTATCATGGCAATGGCCATGGGGCCATCTTGGGCGTTTGGACCGATCGTTCGGTGATTCGGGGCTTTCTTGGGCCGTCTTGAGAGCCTCTTGGGGCCCTGTTGGCCCGTCTTGGGCTTCTCTTGGGCTCGAACAAGTCATGCGGGAACATTCTGGGGGCCCCAGAGGGCGCGCGGGGAGCCTCAAGAGATTTGAGAGCTTTGGGTTCGGGCCCATTAAGAATCCTCAGGCTTGAGGACTGAGGCTCAGGGGATTGAGCAAGGGACCTGGGGAAGCCTCTCGGGGGTCGTTTTGGGGCCTCTTGGGGCCTCTTTCGGGCCTCTTGGGGGCCTTCTGGGGCCTCCTGGGAGCTTCTTGGGGACCTGAGGCCCCCCTCGCCCCGAGCACTAAATGCGTCGGGAATGGCGTCCCCCCCCCCCCTTGCAGAGCAGTTTGAACGAGCTCAAGTCCACGCTCTCAGAAACTCACACGCTGGATCGGCGGACTTGGCACCCCCAGGACCCGAATCTATCAATATCAACCGTCTGCCGAGTTGCCGAAGACCAATCCCCCCAGGTGGAGGGTTATGGATAAGCCCCCGCCTCGAATTGGCGTCTTGGGGTTAGTTCGGCACCCTGAGATGATCAAAACCACGCCCAGCGGCGACAAATCGGTCCTAAAGATTGGGTCGAGAGTTCCAAGGGACCTCACCTGGGGGCTTGGTGGTGTGCCCCAAGTGTCCTTCTCCTTCCCCTCGCATCTGGTGCTGTGCAGAAGTGGCGATGTTATTCGTCTCCCCGCTTCGGACCCCTGGTTCCTCACGAGTTGATCCCGCTCGAAAAGTCTGGCGCGAAGATGTGGAGTCGGGAGCACCAGTTTTGCTTTTTGTCGGAACGTTCTGTTTTCTTTACGACGTCGGATGGCTCGGGATATACCATGCAGCGCAGGAGGCACTCTGGTCTGAGCGCGAACAAGCTAGGAGCCTGCCGTACCGCGGGATGGTGTATTTTGATGAGGGGGCCCTCTCGCGCTCAATGCCGTGAGGCGAGTTTGGGCGTCTACGGTTCGTAAATGGAAGCTCGACGGTCTCGAATCATTGCCTGGCCTCTCGCATCCTTCCCTCTCCTGCCTCGTCGCCTCCCCTCGACAATCACCAAGCCGTGCTTTCGTGCTTCGTCGCCGATCTCCTGGTTTGCGTAATGCTGCTCTTTTCCCATCTCAGAGTTCAGGATGCGCACACACACACATCGCCACTTTGGGAACCGTCCTTTCAGGACCTCGAGAGGCATTTTATCTGGACTAATTTTGGGAGCCCCAGGGGGCCAACGATATCCATGCCCACTGCCTCCTGCGATCCTGAGGCATCTGTTTTCAAAGTGACGGATCGATAGTCTGGACTCATGCTGTCTTGCGTTTCTCCCGCTGCGCTGTCCTCCATCGCCCCCTTCTCTCCTGCGCTCTCGCCCTGTCGCCATCTTTTCCCGAGGAGCTGCGGGCAATCGCTGCACCCGCCGCGCATGGAGAGGAGGGCGCCCCGTCGAGGACAGCAGTTTGGCAATTCTGGTTTGGCCCTGCGCCGCGCAGTTCAAAACAGGAAGTCGGCGAGCAGGACCACCGAGCTTCCTGTTGTTCTGAAGCCTGCCCTCGGTAGTCTTTCCATTCGGACCCGCCATGTTTTGGTTTGTTGGTTTGTCGACTGCTTTGGAGAGTCTTACCTCTTCGGACTCCATGTGGCAGGAATGCCTGTTTGTGTGGATGTAGGGTGTAAGTGTGTAGTTTCGAGAGAAAGGGAGAGAGAGAGAGAGAGAGAACGATATTGAGAGATTGAGAGAGGGAAAGAGCGAGAGAGAGAGAGAGAGAGAGAGAGAGAGAAAGAAAAAGAGAGCGAGAGAGAGAGAGAGAGAGAGAGAGTGAGAGAACGAGCTAGAGAGTGCGTGCGAGAAGCACGCGCGCGCATCCCACCTCCCCAGCGGGATTGTGGGGGTGGGATGCTCCTGTGTGCGCTTCGCGATGCTCGTGCCCCAGCCTCCCACACCCTGCTTCGGCTGCGCCCTAGAGCGAGTTTCTTTTTCGACCGCGACCCCCTGCGCAGCCCCCTTCAAGGGGGGGGAGGGGTGCTGGCGATGTGTCCACGAGCCATCGCCCCGCGAAACTGAATATCGCAACGTCGCTCCGCGATGGAACGATCGAGCGAAGATTCGTTGGCCATGCGTCGAGCGCGTGTCGCGCTATGCGCGGTGGCACAATTTGCGCAACCTCGACGACGGAGCTGCTTCCGCTGGAGTTGGCGCCCAGCGCCAAGCAGTCGCCCTGCTTGCCTGGGTGTGACGCTCGCGCGCGCGCAGGCGAATCTTCGCGCGTCGCGCGGGAGGCCCAATCTCGGACCGCGACTTGCCGCGCTGAGGTCGGCGCGCAGCGCGCCACGCGGGACGGCGCCTCGCTGTGCGGCCAGCGGCGTGCGAGTGCGCGCGGGGGCGCCCCTTCGGCTGCGTCGCGGCGGCGTCTCGCACGTGCGAGGTGTCGCTCCGCAGGCACTGCGCGTTGCAGCCGTGCGGTTCGCGCCGGGGCTGGCGCGCGGGGCCAGGCGGTTTCTTTGCTCTCCTGGTTCGCGCTCGCGCGCGCAGTGGACGGCTCGAGCGTCGCATTGGCCGGCCGGAGCTTGGAGCGCAGTGCGCTGCGCCGGGGTCGGCACGCGGCGCCAATCCCATGGCTCGCGCCGAGGTCGGCGCGTGGAGAGACGCAGGCAGCTGTCGCCGCGCAAGCGCCGCGCGGCTGCGTCGGAAAACGTCAGGAGAGAGCGCCGCGTGCGAGCGGCGCGCAGAAGCTTTCTCGCGGCGCGCCAGAAAGCGTCGCGTGCGAGCGGCGGGCGTGCGCTGAATCGCCTTCGGGGCGCGCCAGAATGCGCCGCGTGCGAGCGGGCGCGCGCGGAAGTGTCCTCGGGGCGCACCAGAGTGCGCCGCTTTCGAGCGGGGGCTCACGGAAGCGCCTTGAAATCGCGCCCATGATCGCCGCGAGCGAGCTGGCGCGCACGAGAGGGCCCGCGGGGCGCGCAAGAGCGGGCCGCGTGCGAGCGGGCACGAACGGAATCGTCTTCGTGGCGCGCCCTTGAGCGCCGCGAGCGACCGTTCACGCGCGAGAGAGCCCTCGGGGCGCGCCAGCGTGTGCCGCGTGCGAGCGGGCATGCACTGGAGCGCCCTCCGGGCGCGCCAGGGAGCGCCGAGTGCAAGCGGGCGCGCGCGGAAGTGCCCTCGGGTGGCGCCCGCGCGCGAACTTGGCACTGGTGGGGACAGTGGGGACAGTGGCGGGAACAGTGGGGACAGTGGGACGGTGGTGGTGGGGACGGTGGTGGTGGGAACAGCGGTGCGGGCGGTGATGAGGACAGTGGTGAGGACCCGGGAGTCGTTTGCTGGCGGCGAGGGGGGGGTGGGGTCGGGTGCGTGGGTTCGAACCGGTAGTGACACCTTCCAGTTTTCTGGAGGGAGGGTTCGAACCAGTAGTGACCCTCCTCGGTTTTCCGGGGGGGGGGAGAGCTTAGGGCAAGGGAGGGTTTGCCGGGGGAAGGGAGGGTGGGGGGGGGTTCGAGCATGGGGCAGGGATTTTCGGACGGGGGGGGCGGGTTCTGGAGGAAGAGGGGGGGGGATTTTCTACAGTAAAGCGGCGGTGGACCACGCTCTCTCATATATGTGTGTACTTACGTATTCATACATATATATATATACATATGCAAGCATGTCTGTCTGTCTGTCTGTCTGTCTGCCTGTCTGCCTGCCTGCCTGCCTGCCTGCCTGCCTGCCTGTATGTATGCATGCATGTATGTATGTATGTATGTATATATATATATATATATATATATATATATATATATACGTACGTACGTATGTATATATGTATGTAGGTAGGTAGGTAGATCGGTATGTATGTATGTATGTATGCATGCATGCATGCATGCATGCATGTATGTATGTATGTATGTATGTATGTATGTATGTATGTATGTATGTATGTATGTATGTATATATGCATGTATGTATGTATTTAATTTGCATTCATGTATATGGTTATGCTGATTTGTTTTTATGTATGTATGTACGCATGCGTGTATGCATGCATGCATGTATGTATGCATGCATGCATGCATATACACATATACATACATACATGGATGTATGCACGTATATCTGAACATGCGTGTATGCATGCATACATGCATGCATGCATGTACGTACGTGTGTATATATATATATGCATGTACTTGTGCATACATGCGTGTAGTATGTATGCATTTATGTATGTATGTATATATGCATGCATGCATGTATGTATGTAGGTAGGTAGGTAGGTCGGTAGGTAGGTAGGTAGGTCGGTATGTTGGTAGGTAGTTAAGTAAGTAAGTAAGTAAGTAAGTAAGTAAGTAAGTAAGTATGTATGTATGTATGTATGTATGTATGTATGTATGTATGTATGTATGTATGTGTCTGTGTGTACGTGTGCAGATTTATGTATATGTATGTATGCATCTATATATATATATATATATATACACACGTCTACAAACCAATCGCCCCCCCCAGGGTTCCGCCCACTCCGCTACCATTTCCAGCAAATTCCCGGTACCCCCTTCCCGGGCGTCTCAGAGAGCCCCCAGCGCTTGAAGACGGCCCAGGACGTTCCCGAGACAACCCAGGAGTGCTCCAGGGCTGGCCAAGCCGGCCCCCCGACGGCCCTGGAAACCCCCAAGATCGGCTACGCGTAAGAATGATCTTTCGCCGGAGTGACCCTTGGTGCGGGTTCACAGGGGTCCCCCCAGGATTTGGCCTGCGCGCGTGGATTTGGATTACCCGCGGCCCCCTAAAGCCGCGCACCAAAGGTCACTCTTGCCTAGAGTCACTCTTGCGTGTAGTCGACGAGTGCACTCAAGATCCAAGAGTGCCGGTTACAGTGCGGTTCCCGCTGCCGCTTACAGTGCGGCCAATTTCGGCTTAAGACGTTTCGCACAATCTCTAGGAATTAACATTTACACACATCTGTATGTATATACTTTATACACACATGTTTATATATGTGCTCAACATATATACATATATCTATATATGTACATCTGTATATTTACACATATAGTCAATCAGTTGTTCGCTTTTCAGGCATTCATACATGTAGACCGAGACAGAGAAAGAGAGAGAGAGAGAGAAACAACAACTGAAGGAGGGAGGGAGAGAGAGAGAGGGAGAGAGAGAGGGATAGAGAGGCAGAAACAGAGAGAGAGAGAGAGAGGAGGAAGCACGAGAGATACGATATATGCAGGCATAGACATCGATGCGTATACATATTTTTATGCATTTGTATTTTTGTGTATGTACACATGCTTACACATACATTCATACATACACGCATGTGTGTTTGTTGATATACATGGCACTACGCATCAGTATATTGTACTTGCGCGCATGTATTCACACTCATGTGTGTATGCATCGATGTATATGCAGATGTAGCCAGTGAGAGAGAGGCGAGAGAGAGAGAGAGAGAGAGAGAGAAAGAGGTGGAGAGAGAGAGAAAGAGGTGGAGAGAGGGAGAGAGAGAGGGAGAGAGAGAAACAAAAAAGAGAGGGAGGGAGGGAGAGAGAGAGAGAGAGAGAGAGAGAGAGACAGAGAGAAAGAGAGGGAATCTGATGGCAGATGCTGACGCAAGCGTGCAGGGTAGCGAGCAGGCGAGACCGATGACTCGGGAGTCGTCATGCTTTCATGACGCGGGCCCCCCGTATCTCTGGGACCGTTTTTCGTTTTCAGCCGTTTTGCTAACGGCCCCGGGGCCCGACACGGCCCTCTGGAGGCCATGAGCATTTGTAGAAATTGACCGCCGCGATTGTTGTGACGCCCGACGGCCACTGCGGCGGAGGCGACGGCGACGGCGGCGGCAACGACGAGGGCAGCGACGGGCGGCAACGACGGCTGCGGCGACCACGGCGGCGGCGGCGGCAGGTGACGCCTGCTGTGGTCCCAGACATGCGATGTTTAGTTTTTTCCATGCGCGGTCCCTGGGAAATCCCGACCCTTTCTGCAGGATTAGTTTTCAACCCCGAGTCGTTCTTCGACAGTCCCAGGGCCCGGCGAGGGCCCCCCGAGGCCACAGCCGGCGAAAGACCTTTTGGTCGCGATCTGGGCACGACGCGAGCCTGTCTGGGGTGCGTTTTGCCCGCGAGGGAGCGGGACGACCTCTCGCTGATGGAGAACCGGGCGTGACCGCAGGCCTCGGCCGAGCGCGGCCGGGGCAAACGTTCCTCGCGCCCGCGCCCCGTGCGCTCTTGCGACAGGGTCGCCTCGGCCCCCTGAGCGCGCCGTCGCCTTCGGGGGGAA